AGACGCAGGGGGGGATGGATAGAGGGAGAGAGAGAGAGAGGGGGGGGGGGGGGGGGGGGGAGAGGGAGAGAGAGAGAGAGGGAGAGGGAGTCTTGTGGTTGACTTTAATAATAAATAGGTAAAGTACCGATCAGTGTTGGGACAGTAAACAGTAGAAATAGCAGCGTTGTCTGCTCTGAGGTCACTTCCTGAACGATGCGTTCAGGGACTGTTTCCTCTGATGAAGAACCAACGTCTCCGTCCATGTTGTTCACATCACATTGCTGAAGGAGACGACACAGTGGACGGAACCTCTGACTGGAACACCCCCACCCGTGTGTGTGTGTGTGTGTGCGCTCTAGGATCCGACCTCCTCCTGTCATCGACTCCGACCTCAGAACTCTTATCACTGAAATGTTCTAATGGAGGAGGTTGACCTCAGAGAAGGACGTGGGCTCCACCTGAGCTGACCCCCCCGACCCCCCCTGGACTCCCCCACCCCTTCTCACCCCCAGACTAAACTGGACTGAAGTGTGTGTGTGTGTGTTTTCAGATGAATGGAGAAATGTGAAGTGTCTGTCCGACCTCCGCCTCCGTCAGCTGCTGGAATTGGTGCCTGTCAGCTCCTGTGACACCATATATTTATATATATATATGTATTTATTCATTCTTATAATTGTAAAATACTTCATTTCAGCCACAGTATCAGCTGATGAATGAACTCAGTCTAACGTTAGCTTTTAACAGACGGCTCTGTGACGTCACCAACTGCAGTCTGTGACGTCGTCAGTGTTTGGATTATTTCTGTTTTGGTGAGGACTAAACTTCTCTTCACCTTTGACCTGTTGACTTTGTCTTGACACACACACTCACACACACACTCACACACACTCTCTCACACACACACACAATCACAGACAGTCAGTTATTGATCTGAAGATCAGACACCTGACATAAATCAGATCAGACGGTCAGTGCTCGGCTGTGACTGACCTGCTCCACTGCCTCTGCTGTCGTCCAATGAGATAACACCGTAGATCCACCACCTGGTCCTGTGGTCCTGGTCCTGGTCCTGGTCCTGGTCCACTGGTGAATCTGTGGGTTTTAAAGTCACCGCGTCATGAACTGCTGTCACTGATGTTCAAGACAGATTATGGGGTTCCTTAAAACTGTCCAACATCATCATCTCCAATCACTGCCCACCTCAAATATATGTGTGTGTGTGTGTGTGTGTGTCTCACCTCCTCACGGTGTGTGTGTTTACCAACACCTAGTGGTTTATTTTGGAGATCTGTGACTCACAGTGAGCTGATCCTGGACCTCCCCCTTCCCTCGGTCAGCTGACACTCTTTGGGACGCATTACTGCCACCTATGGGTTCTCTTTACAACTGAGCGCCTGTAGAGAAGAAGAACAGAGATAGTTCAGTGTAAAGACAGCACTTCTCTGAATCACCACCATACACTCCTAGTTCTAGTAGTGGAGGGGTGAGGGTGGAGGGGTGAGGGTGGAGGTGGGAGGGGAGGGGGGAGACTTTTCTACATGCAGAGAAGTTTCATCATAATCAGACGGGACACAGAGGCTCTGAGCTGATGTGTTCAGGGACACCACCGGGAATGGTTAAAGCAGTACGGTAATTAGAATGGAGGA